CTTGTTCGGCATATGCGTCGATGGTGACTGCGGCTGTATTGAGGGATTCAAAAAATTGGGCAAAATCTGCATTGGTGAGAAATAAGGAGGACTAATTCTGAAGAATGAAATGGCGATGGCTGCTGAGTGGCTACTCCAGTGCAGATAGTTTCCATTTCTAGATGAACTATGAACGTTCTCCAGATATCAACGAATGCGAAACACCGTCGAAATGTCCAGCAAACTCGCGATGTGTCAATACAATGGGTTCGTACAGATGTGATTGTGATGCCGGCTTCAGTGACAGTGGGCAGTGTGTTCTACAAAAAGGTTGGTAGCCTTTCTACCCCCGTTTTGAATCCTATAGTCCTATGTCGAACCACTGTCAAATACAGTCAAACCCATTAGTCATGGTTTCTTTTTTTTCTGCTAATCAGCTACAAGTCAGTAGGTGAGTGTAAGAGGCGGTTACAGCAACTGTATCGCTCTGATTGTTCGACTGACAAGTGGCTGCTCCTCTGGGAAACATAGTGGGAAGTTGGGCGCGGTGGTTTACCTCAGACAATCGGTGTCTTCGAGCTGTTAGCGCCTTCCGAAGGAGCCTCTGATGCTTTTACATATGCATGAAATCAGTTTCGATGGATTCTCCCGACGAACATGTCATTTTCCATGGGATATTTCACCGACAAACTGAATTCCATTTTATCTGACACCAGATTTCTTCAGAAAACCTCCATCAGCAGAGCTGTTGCCCAATATCACCACGTAATCATAATCAGACTGTAACTATCAAATATAAAATCCAAGTTCGTAGCCCTGTTGCTCCTCCTCTGAAGCAATGCACTTCGCAGCTATGCACAAATGATACTCCCAGTTCAGATTTTGTATCGCTGGGAAGGGCGACCTACTCACACTGCTCATCCCAATCCCTACATTAGTGGTGGTTCTTCAACTAGTCGAAGATAAGATTCTGATAAAGATGGCTTATCCCACTCTCTACCCTGATGATGAAGAGACTTGATATATTAGTAACGGAGTGATCCAGCGATGAGAGAACGCAGTACAGAAGCATTCTAGGTTCGTACCTACACTCATCCTGAATACCGCCTTGACTTGTCTTACTGTCATTTCAGAAGCGTGCACGGATGTGTTCGATATCCGGTACACAGAGGAAGATTGCAATAACGGCGTTCAGGAACTAAGGTCAATCCATACTTGGGCACACCATGAAATCCTAATCCTACTGATCCTAACAGTTGTTTCAGATATTACTTCGATCACGAGACCCACACCTGCAAACAGTTTTTCTATGGAGGATGTGTAGGAAAGTCGAAGAACATATTCGCCGATGCGAAGGTTCGAGGCCTATGAAATTTTTACTGATCACTTATCAGTGTAAAGCCTTTCAATCGCTCCAATGTGAACTAGGTGGGAGACAGATCGAATTGCGCAATTTGAAAGAGACAGGTCAGCTTTGGGCCGAGGTTTCAGTTTGAAAGTGATGTGGATAGGTCATCTCAGATCATTCCTACTGACAATTTCTGTGAATTTGCTTATGAAGTTACAAATGATCTCACGTTTTGAATCGAGAGCAGGATTTGAGTGACGAGAATCTGAAAGTCTGAAAAAGAGTTCTAAAAAATCAATAAATTTCAAAAAACCATATTTTCAAAAACGTGTATGCAATTTCAATTTCCAACATTCTTTTCCCTGAAAATTAGAGATTTTTGAGCCTGATCTATTCCACCATCTTTGATGTTTTGAATTATTTGCGGTAGAGTGGAGGATCGTGACTTGTACGGTTTGTCGGATAAGAATATTCTCGACCACTCAACACAAACATATAAATTTCAGACTTGCGAAACTCTCTGTGCTGGGGGCCAGAAAACTGTTTTGTTAGATTCGACAGCAGCCACCCCTCTTGAAGGTATGTTTCAGTAGAAGGTGTCGATGGAAAGAGAAGGGATTTTGTAGCCATTCAAATGAATTGTCTACAGTGCTCAGTTGAAATAATTTTAGTTTCTAAATATGGAGTCGCGATACAGATGGACATAAACAAATGGTAGAACTATAGTTCATCGGCGCTGATCAATCCCGCTTCTGGAAGGCACCCTCACATTCCACTTTCCTTCAGAATCGTTGTAACAACTTGAAGGCGTCTTAACCTTAACAAAGAATTACGGCTTCCAGCTGATCAACAAGTCAGTGTTCCAACCTCCTAAACATGTCTGATACCGATCTCCCAACATTGGAAGACCGGGAAGCTTAGCGGTTACTAATATGGGGACAATGACTGAGCCATGCATGTGATAGTGCGCCACTTACCACTGCACTACTCTCGCATAGATAGGTGGGCTGTAATATACCAGAAGGAGGACAGAATGCTCGACTGGCCATCCACCCTCGGGGCTAGGATACGATAGACGGAAGTGGATAGACGCCTGGGAAGAACTTGGAAGACGGTCCTAGAGGAAGCCATCCAAGA